GTGACAACAACCGCAATGAAATCGGTCAAGTCGTTCAAAAGTTACAAGAGGTTTACACACACACACACACACACACACACATACAGACGTACGGACATCATCGTAAAAATAGTCAGGGAAGTTTCCTGTGACTTTCAAACGTCGAGATCTGATGAAAACTCGATTTTTGTAAAACGGGGTGAAAACAATAACTTCCCGATTTTTGAAAATCTGAGATTTTTAGCGGGAAGTTAAAAATGAAAAAAAAAATTGACATCGAAATTTTAAAAAATTAAAAGTTAAATTTTCCTACAAAAAAAATATTTTTATAATCAACTAATATTATTGGTATTTACTTTTCATAATTTAGCACTAAAAATTAAAAAATAAAACGCAATATTTTTCAGTAATTAAAAAAAAAAAAATTAATAACTAAAAATTTCAATGAGAAAAAAGCCTTACTTGTATTTTTGGAAAAATAGCGAGCATGAGAATAACAAACGAATTAACTGTGGTAGTTGTATCATAGCCAGCAAACATAATATTTTCAACTTCTTCGCGAAATTCCTCGATTGTTATTTTAGTTCCTTCGAACAACAACTCTGTAAAAGAGTCTAGAAAAGCTTCTCTTTGAAATCCGATTTGTGTAACAGCATTTCCATTCATCTTTTTGGAATACTGTTCAAGTTTCTTCTCTATAATGTCATTTGTATGCTTGTGCAAAGATTTAATACACTCTTTCTGGTCTTTTGCTAATTTTGTTGCATTGAAAATAACGCTAGGATGTAACCATACTTCTATCATCCTTTGATAAAGTATTTTCATTATTCTAGACAAAAATAATTTAATTACTTCATTATTTATAAAATTTTATTAAGAGTTACTATCCACTTACTTTTCAAAAGCTGCTGGATAAGCTGAATTTTTTTTTATTTGTTCATTCGAAGGAACTCCCATCACCGTTTCTACAAAAATTTTTTTTAATTAAATCAATTTAAATTGATAATTATTTTTAATAAAATAATTACCGCAAACAATATCAATCGTACAAAGTGATATGTAATTAAATATATCAAATTCATCTTTATCGATTTCAGGTTCCATAATTTTGACCAATATTTCACATTGTTTATTTATTGTATCAATAAATTTTTCTAGTACTCTGCGATTAAATGTCGGCATTATTAATTTGCGATGTACTTTCCATTTGTTTGCTGAAATAAAAACTATTTATTTATTATTAATCAAAGATTTTTTTTTTAAATTATTTATCATGAGTCTGAAAGTTTGTAAATTGTCAGATGTCTGTTAATTTTAGTAACACAAATTTATTCATCATAATTATTCATTATTGCATGAAGTAAATTCATTATACTGTTTATAAACTTTTACAAATGTTAAAGCTAGGGTATCAAACTCAGTGTGCTAGAGAAGTTGCAATAATTTAATAAGTTGTACAAGGATTATATATTGTAATATTTGCCGTCTACTTTCGCACACCCACGGCTCATGCTTACCGGGTGCTGCAATTAATCCTGTGCCAAGCCAAGGCAAGAAGAACCTCAGCAACTCATCCCTTTCGATGGTTTTTGGGCTGTGAAGAACTATCTGAAATATAATAACAAGTAATAGTATTAAACGGTTCTTCAAACATTAATTAAAATAAATTATCTTTATGCTCCATGTTACATATTACTTTTTTTTTTTTATAAATAAAATTACATGATAATATATAAATTTCAGTATTATTAATTATCTACACTTTACTTTTTGCGTTTTACTGAATGAAAATTAATGTAGTGTATATTTAATAATTTTAAGAATTTTATAACAAATAAATTATAGCAAAAAAAAATTAGAAAAAAAATTGACATGTAAAAATTAAAAAAAATAAATGCAATTTTTTTTAAATGATTTTTTTGTTAAATAAAATTAAAAAATTGTAAAGTAGTTGCTAATTTTAATGTCATTTTTACTGAATATAATTTAATGCGCTACGCTTAATTTTGAACTTTTATAAAATAAAGTTATAAGAAGATAAAAAAAAATGTTGCAAAATTACCTTCATCTGTTCGGGATCAAATAAAATAATACACAATTTGTGACCAAGCCAAGCGCGCACCGGTGATACTTTGAATTTTTCCAACAATATAATAATTTTTCTAAAAACATTTTTGGTTTCACCAAAAAGAAGATGAGCATTTCCAATAATCGGTAACACTGGCTCAAGCCCTGGTATTTTACTACCGGCTCTGTATAAATCCAATCTTCTGTAATGATATATTATCAATTTGATGAAAGCAGTCATCAATACGGTCATCAATATCGTCGATAAATCCATTATATTACTCAATTTATTTTACAATCAAGCTTTAATTACTTTTGGATTTTTTTTTGAATAAATATTTATGTAGTGAAAAATTTTTGACCCTTTCTTTAATTTTATGATAATTGAAAAAAATTCTTCCTTATTTTTCTTAATAAATATTCCAAATGGTATTTATATAGAGTATATCAGTTTAAGTGAAGAATATTTTACAGCAATTGCTACCACTTTGAATATGTTGTTGTGTCGTAATATTTCAATATTTTAAATCAAATATTTAAATTTCACTTGGAAATATTTTTCTTTATTTCTTATATTTCAATTAAAAAAAAAAAAAAACACTTTTTTTTTAAATTTTTTTATACATCTAGAAGAAATTTAAAACTAATTTATATAAATATTCTTCTTTAAAAAATAATCTACTGATTGAATTCTCAAGGGTATAAAATGCAAGATATCACGAATATCAATATTGATAATTATTAAAGTTAATCTATAAATCTATGTAGATAATAAAATTATCTTCATTTGAAATCGTTTTTTAACTCGCTCTAGATAACAATTATTTTTTTTATCACACAACAAATACCCGAAAATCTTTTTTGTTCTTATATGAATTTAATCATTGAGCGAAATCATTATTTTTTCTTGATTAATATTTTACTTTCTCATTCTTAATTTAAAATTATCAGACGTCTGCTAGCTATCTTCATTACAATATAATATTGTTATTAGATTATATTTAATAAGGTCGATTGTAATAATTAACTTGGATTAATTATAACATGTGATTTTATTAGAGCTATAGGTTACAAGAGCTTGTAAGAGAGAGATACAATACTAGGTTTTAATTACCGCCGCTTAGCGGTCATACAACAAATCAATATATTGCTCAACAGATAATCACAATAAACTAGCAATTATCAACACTCCCACTTGGTAGTTTATAATAATATATGTCTGAATCCCTTTGGTGATGACCCTTTGGATTGATGATGCTTTGGAATTGCCTATAGATATGTACCTTAAACAAATAAATCTATATTGTTAGCTTTAACACGTTATCAGTTACTGAGTTAATTTTATGATGCCCATTTTCTCTCAGCACTTCAAACTGTAATTTATTCAATGGTTTTTTCCATAATGAACTTATATTTTATATCAATGTGTTTGGACCTGGCTTGGAAACTTCCATTTTTAATCCATGCGATTGCGCTTTGGTTGTCAACATGAAGTGTAGGTGTTGAGTGTACTCCAGTGAGCTGATCAACCATATCATGTTTGTTGTAGTATGACACGTCGCAATGAACTCGGATTCGGATGTAGATAGCGTTACACACTTTTGTTTCCTTGTTCCCCAGGCTACTGTTGAGTTACCTTGCCTCATTACATATCCAGTTATGCTTCTCCTTGTCTCTTGGTTTTTTGCGTGATCTGCATCTGAATATCCTCTTATTTCATTTGTGTCGCTGGACGCACTGAATTTAATGCCATAATCCTTTGTACCCTTGAGGTATTTAATTATCCTCTTTACTGCGTTCCAGTAGATTTTCTTTGGGTCTTCACAAAACTGACTGACACGATTTACAGCAAATGTGATATCAGGTCTTGTCACAGTAGACAAAAATAGTAGTGCTCCCACTGCTTCGCGATATGGTACTTTATTTGACACTTCTTTTCCTTGGTCCTTTTCAGAGACATTTAATTCCTGGAAATTATCAGCTGGTGTAGCAACTGCGTTTACATTTATCATATTAAATTTTCTTATCAGTTGTTCGACGTACTGTGTTTGGTCTGCGAACAGTGATCCATCTGGTAGTCTCGTTAGATGTATTCCCAAGTACATGCTTGGCGTTGAAGTCGTTATTTCGATTTCTAAAGCTAACTGTTTTAGAAACTCTTTTACCTTCCCTTTTTTATAGCATACAGACAATCCATCGTCTACATGTAATGTTAGTATTAGACATTCCTTTAAGCTTCCTGGAGATCTAAATACACATGGGTCTGCATCTGTGGCTTTCATTTCAAATTTCTTGAGTATTTCTTTAATTTTCTTATTCCAGCATGTCGGTCCTTGCTTTAATCCATATATGCTCTTTTTTAGCTTGCATACTCTCCCACTATTGTCACTAAACCCTTCGGGTTGCTCCATGTACACTACATCAGTTAGTGTACCATGCAGGAAAGCGGTCTTGACGTCAAATTGCTCAGCGTACATTTTATTCGATGCTGCCAGTGCTAATACTGACCTGACCGAGTCGTATTTCACTACTGGGCTAAAGGTTTCTTCGTAGTCTAATCCAGCTCGTTGTTGACAGCCTTTAGCAACTAGCCTTGCTTTGTACCTTTCAGTGGTACCATCAGCCTTTATTTTTCGTTTGTACACCCAGCGATTTTTCAAGACATTAAATCCTTTTTTCCGATCTACCAGTGTCCAAGTTTCATTCTTCTCTAGTGCTTCAATTTCTTCTTTCATAGCTTCTTGCCAACATTGATATTCTTCACTCTTCTGGGCTGCTTGGTAGCTTGTTGGTTCTTCACTCACAAACGTTGCGTGACCAATGACCTCACAATTATCGCATTTATACTCATTATCCTCAACATCTTGTCGCTGTACTCCTACACACTGAGTATGATACAAATTTTGGCACTGATCACATTAAACCCAGTTGATTGGGTCTGTCGTTGGCTTCATACACACTGGTGCCTGACACTCATCATCCTCATCAGTTGATAGACTTCTAGTTGAGCTCTCATCATCTGATATCATTTCTTGAATTGTTTTATCCTGGTCAGACAGATCTTCTTGCTCTAGAGTGTCTGGGGCATCTTCAAATTCTTCTTCTTGGTCATCCGGTTCTGGTTCTTCAATTTGTTCTGATTTGTCTTCATCTTGACAAATTTTATTTTTGTATATGATGTATTCACTTCCTACATTCTCATTTAGGACTTTTACGTCTCTGTATGTTTTAACATCACATGTGTCTCTGGTAACCAGACTCGGTACCCTTTCACGGTTTCACTGTATCCGACCAAAATACCTTTCTGTGTTTTGGAGTCCCATTTTCTTCTTTTCTCTTTTGGAATATGAACCATTACGTTGGCTCCAAACACCTTGAAGTGATCTATACAAGGTTCTTTATTGAACCACAGCTCGAAGGGTGCTGTACCATTCACTGAGCTGGTACCAGTCCTGTTGATTACGTAGACTGCAGTGTTCACTGCTTCAGCCCACAGTGACTTGGGCAAGTTTCCTTCAATTAACATTGTTCTTGCAGCATCTACGATAGTCCTATTTTGTCTCTCAGCCTTCCCATTTTGTTCAGGAGTGTAGGCCACTGTTTTTTGATGCTGGATGCCTTCTCTAAATAATTTTTCAGTTAAATTTTTGTTTACGAATTCTAAGCCATTGTCAGATCTGAGAATATTTAACTTTTGACCCGTTTCTTTCTCAATTCTTATCAGATAGTTGGAAATACACTCACTTACTTCACTTTTGGCTTTGAGGAAGTACACGTAGCGATAGTGTGAATAGTCATCCGTCGACATTAGAAAGTTAAGCCGTGAACGTCAGGCAGCTTAAAGTATGGACTTAAACAGACTCAGGCAGATGCTGAATAATCTGCAAGCCAGCGCACATCAGGGAATTGCGTTTCAGCATTTTGTTGATGGTGTGAATGTGTGTCGAGGATACTATTTCGATTTTTGGACGGATATGGCCACAGCAGCTATTCGGTCTGAAATAACTGCGACTGAATCGGGGATTCATATTGGACAAAGCTCTCCGCAGCCGTTAGATCAAACAAATATTCGCTCTGGAAGTAAAAGACACTGTTCGAACCCAACAATAAGTTCCATGCAAAATAAGAACCGGCGCGTCGCAGATGAACAGCCTAGCACTGAAGAAAACGGTGTGGATCTCCCTCAGGATCTCTCGACGCATAATTCAAGCGGATCTTCTACTTCATCATCAACTCGTGATTTGCAGACCAACGATGTTAAGATCAATGCGACCGGAAAAAAATATGCAACTACTCCGGGATCTCACAGGGTCACCAACAAGCTTACTCTTCGGCGATCTTGTAGACATTATCAATGAAGATCAAGAAGAAACAGAAAAATCGGACGACGATGGACGTAACTAAAGTAAAATGTTTAAAAGTAGGAGGCAAAGTAAAGAGTATTTTCAATATAATTTGCTTATCTGGAACATCCTCACCCATTTGTTTTAGCCGATGAGCAAGATCCTGAACCTTGGCGATGTACATCGTCATGCTGTCACTCTCATCCTTTGTAAGTGTCCACCATTGATGATTCAGCATGTGGATAGTTGCATCTAACTTACTCTCGTACACTCCCTGAAGCCTGGTCCACATTTGTCTTGCAGTTCTGCAGCTCATTACATGTAGCAGGGCCTCCGGCCCCAAATTTGCCGCTATAATGCACTGGTCGGCAGCTTCCTTCCTTTTGAATTTAATTAACTTTTCTTGATACGCATTTACCTGGTTCGGAGTAGGTGGTATACCTCCATCTGTAGGTGTTGGTGCTGTGGGTTCTTCTTCGTCAACCTCAATATCAATGTCTTTGCCCATCAACGCAATTTTTGTCTGAAATTTCCAGGCAGCCCAATTTTCTACCCCTTTTAGCTGCTGAATCTTCATTTTCTCTTGAGTCTGATCCATTTTTCGGTCTTTCGCACGTTGCACGTTGGCAGGCTAACCTCAAAATTTTTGGGTCCCTCAAATAAATATTCTGAGTTGTTTTTACACAAAACTTTTTAATTCAATAATCACTGTTGATCTTCTGGGCCCATAACCTGTTATTAGATTATATTTAATAAGGTCGATTGTAATAATTAACTTGGATTAATTATAACATGTGATTTTATTAGAACTATAGGTTACAAGAGCTTGTAAGAGAGAGAGAGATACAATACTAGGTTTTAATTACCGCCGCCTAGCGGTCATACAACAAATCAATATATTGCTCAACAGATAATCACAATAAACTAGCAATTATCAACAAATATTTATGTAATTTCTATCGAAGCTTTTGAGATAATATTCATTACGAGTAATTTATGATTTTTCTTAAATTATAAATAATTAAATTGATAAAATATTAAAAAAATTTCCTTAACAGGATTAAAATGATGTTGAAGTTAGTTGACAGCTGTCAATTCTTTTAATTCCTATAACTAATAAATTACAATAATAAAAAATGCCTTTAAAATTTTTCCCATGATATTAAAGTTAGCTATCACTTCACAATTTTTTAATTTTATTTAACAGACAAATTTGTTCCAAAAAATTGGATTTTTAATTTATTACAATTTCTACATGTCAATTTTTTTACTCATTTTTTTTTATGTAATTTATTTATTAAAAAAATTCTTAAAGTTATCAAATATCTGCTAAATTAATTTTAATAACTTTCTCTAATAATTTTTTATGAAAATTAAGTTAGCCGAAAAAATTTTCATTTGTAAAAAACTTTAAAAACTATCAGTGCAATTTTTAAAAATATTATTTTGTTCTAATTCAATTATTAAAAAAATAATCAAAAAATTAAAAACGTCGGCTAACTTTAGAATTATTAATTTTTTTATTATTTTCCATACTCAGAATTTTTTTCTCATAATAATTTTATTGCAATAAAATGATAAAAAAATTTCTGAAGTCTGTCAACTTCAGTGTCATATATAAAATCATCTGGAAATAAATTAAACTTTCTATTTTATTTTAACTAGAATTCAAATTTTCGCGCGCAAGCGCGCGCTTGACTATAGAATTTGCATATATTTTCATGCTTATATGATATATTCGACCAATCACGTTACGAATAGTTTGATGCCACATACATTTCATCTCAATTTTATATTAGGATCATTTTATGATTTAAAACAAACATTACTCTAGGGGATAATTGACAGCTTTCCATTTAGAATTTTTGTAAAAAGTTTCTCGAAAATTTTCAATTAAAAAATTTCACGCATGCGCATTTTTCTAAGAAAAATTTTCAATGAATTATTTAAAATACTAGAATTTTTAACGGCATGCATTCGCGCGCCCCCTATCGAAATTCTCGAATGAATTTATCCTGTTCGATTTATATCGATATATTGATATGTTCACGTACCAGGAGATTGACCAATAGTAACTGAGGAGGGTTTATATTCTACCAATAAGGAATCAGGTCCCATTTTTTCGACTATTGACTAACTTCAAACTGTCATGTATTTTTATTGTAGGGATACAAACTTGACTTAACTGACAGAAATTTTTTTTATAATTTTATAGCAATTAAATTATTACAAAAAAAAATTGATAAAAAAATTCCATATGTGACAATTAAAAAAAATGATTTTTTCAAGTATTTTTTTTATTGTAATTAATTTTTTACAAAAATTAAAAAAAATGACAGCTGTCAGCTAACTTCAGTATCTTAAAAAAAATGAAAATGAATTTAGCTGACATTTCAAAATTTTTAGAAATTTATTGACGAAATTTCAATTAAATAATTTAAAAAAAAAATTTCACATGTAAAAAACTTGAAAAACCACAAGTGCAATTTTTTATAAATCTTTTTTTAGTTGTAATTTAATTAAAAAAAAAAATCAAAAATTTTTAGACGTCTGCTAACTTCATAATACTTAAAAAAATACTATTGTTGAAAACTCGCCTTAAAGCTTAAGTTTGACAACCGGCGCATGCGCATTAATTTACGGTGTACGTACGCCATCTTCACCGCTATAAGCTACAATAAAGAGATAAAAAAAAGAAACGGTTACTGTTATAATAGTGTTTTTATTCTTTAATAAAAGGTACCGAGTGTATTTTATTCTAAAAGTTAATAATCGTTTGCATTTAGCGCAGTGCGTTAGTTGCCGATAAAATATTAACGTAAAAAAAATAAATGCATCGAGCAAAAATAATAGTTTCTATAATTTAAATAAAAAAAAAAAAAAATAAAATGAACAAACAATAATAAATTAATCGATTGATTAATAAACTTGGTGAAAAATAAATAAAAATTCATATTAAATTTATCAACATAAAGAAAGTTTTGAACTAGCTACAGTAATAATATAAATATTGTATATTATTTTGTAAAATAACACAAGTGTAAATATATATGTATGCGTAGAGACGCTCAAGAACATTTTGGTGAGAGAGATAGACAATTCTGAATTGTGAGTTTCAGAGTTCTGCTTTACAGAGCAACCAGCAACAGAGAGAGAAAGACATACGAGTTATTGTTGGAGCGTATACCAGTAATATATATAATATATTTAGTTAGCTAGCTTATGTGTTCTCTCTCGTAGCGCATACGGCTAAAGATCGAAACTTGACATTGGGTCTGACGGCCATTTTGGCATTTTGTGTTCACCATTCAAGTGATACGCTTCGTTGCAATATACAATCCCTGGCCATCCTTTTCACGGTATATTATTTTATCTAATGCTATTGTTATTATTATTCATTAATTTATTATTTTATTTATTTTGTAAATCGTTTAATTTTTTTATTACACTACCGATTTATTAATAACTTTTTTAGACTCTGAGCAAAGTACAAAGAATTTAGGTTGAGGTATATTGTCGCTTCCATTTTTTTTGTTTTACCGGTTCAGTGTCTTAATATTTTTTCAAAAAAATATTTATTATAATTTATCAAATTTATTTTTCCATTAAACAAAACTATTGATTTATTTTTTATTAATTTTTTCATTCACTGATTAAATAATTTTTTAAATATTTTATATTTGAAGAAAAAAAAAAAAAACAGAGTAAGCTTGTAATAAATATTCGAAAGTATTTAGAGAAAAAATTCCAAGTGGTTGAGATAATCCGACAATTGTTTGCGGATTAGTATAATAATAACACGAAAAAGATGATCTCATTTTGTTTTTACTTTATTTTTCACGTTCAGCATACTCAGATTATAATCTAACGAATACTCTAGAGTGTTATTTGTATAAAGAAATTCACATTTTAATGCTAGAAGGTTTATATAGTTGAATTTGTTAATAATTATTTTATTTTTTTGTAGTTAAAGACGATACAGTAAAAGTGCGTTATCGAAATGATGACCGAAACGCATATTAATTCTAATCACATGCTAAACTCAAGTTTGGGCTCCAAATCAGACCTCGAGAAAATGGATGATGTTGGTTGGAAATCCAAACTTAGAATTCCACCGCGAGACAAGCGGATTAAAACGAGTGTAAGTTATTTTGGAATTTTCTTTTTTTTTTTATTTTGCAGTTGATAATTAATTTAATATTTTTTTTTTTGTTAATAGGATGTTACAAACACACGAGGTAACGAATTTGAGGAGTTTTGTTTAAAACGTGAATTATTGATGGGAATTTTCGAGAAAGGATGGGAAAAGCCATCTCCTATTCAAGAAGCTAGTATTCCAATTGCATTGTCCGGTAAAGACATTTTAGCACGTGCCAAGAATGGTACAGGAAAGACAGGAGCTTACTCTATTCCTGTATTGGAACAGGTAATAAATATTTATTATTTTTTTATTAACGAAAATTTTAAATAATTTCACTCGTATTATTGAGACAGTTTTACTATACACCCTGATAGCTACGCTTTGATTTAAAGTAGTTGGATTTCAGCAGTTACAGTTAACTTGACATAAAGTTTGCCGTAAATTTTTACAGTACAACAGTTGTAAACAAATTGACTAAAATCTAGACAGTCCCAATTTGAATACAAGTTAACACCGAACTTTTGGTTAAATTGTACTACAACTTGAATAAAATACTTGTACTGCAAGTCTTGACGTCAAATTGCAGTGTAACTTGTAGACAACTTAAGTAAAAACATTTGATTTGCAACTTTTTTCATCAAGTTGGCTGCAAATTTCGGCAGTAGATTGAATAAAAGTTTGAGTTAAAATAGCTATCAGGGCAGATTAATTTTTTTTTATTTATTTTATTTTACTTCTGCTAAACATTCTATAGAGGTGCATGACACCTGTGCATAGACACTAGAAAAATACAATAATATTTAATTATATATACATCAAGTTGAAAAAAAAATTTAATTAAATTAAATAAAAACTAAAATAAAATGAAATTAAATAAAATTGAATAAAATGAAAAAATAAAATAAAAATTTTCAAAAGCTTGCATATCGGCTGCCCAATTTCAAAACACAGTAACTAACATTAAGAAATAAAAAAAAAATTTTTTTTTATTAAAAGAAAGTTTGCCTACCAAATTGATGCAAAATTTGATTTATAAATAGAAAATACTTGAATATAAATATCTTTAAAAAAAAATACTTGAAATTAAGGTCTAAAAGTTAAAAAAAATGCAGCAATATTAAAAAAAATTAGGTATAAAAATTTGGCAGCTACTGTGTTTTAAAATTAAGCAGCTGATATATTCTAACACTCGATATTAAAATTATATATTATTATTGTTTATAATAAAATTAGAAAAATTTTTTTTTTACTGGTAATTAATGATTGTTCGATGATTGTTTTGTAGGTTGACCCACGAAAAGACATAATTCAAGCTTTAGTGATAGTGCCTACCCGAGAGTTGGCATTGCAGACATCTCAAATCTGTATTGAACTTGCTAAACACATGGATGTTAAAGTTATGGTAACTACTGGTGGAACAAATTTACGTGACGATATTATGAGGATTTATCAAAAAGGTATAATCATATAATTATGTTTGACTATTATATTAATCCTTTAAAAGTATACGAATAATTTATTTACCTCTTTTTTTGTACAGTTCACGTAATTATCGCAACACCAGGAAGAATTCTCGACTTGATGGACAAAAATGTCGCAAACATGGATCATTGCAGGATTTTAGTACTAGATGAGGCTGACAAACTTCTCTCACAAGATTTTAAAGGAATGTTGGATCACGTTATTTCAAGGTATACATTATTGAGAATAATTATAAAATTATATCATTTTTTTTCCGAGTCCAAATATTGAAAAAACATAATTATTATGAATTTATTTTTAATTTAATAATTTTACCTAAATATAGTTTCAATTCATTAAGTAATTAATTTTTTAATTTATATTGACAAACAATAATTATTAAATATTTTTTGTAAAATAGATTGCCATCGGAACGACAAATATTGCTGTACTCGGCTACGTTCCCACTGACCGTTAAGCAATTCATGGAAAAACACTTGAGAGATCCATACGAGATAAATTTAATGGAGGAGTTGACGCTAAAAGGTGTTACGCAGTACTATGCATTTGTACAAGAACGACAGAAAGTCCATTGTCTCAACACACTATTTTCAAAGTTGCAAATAAATCAGAGCATTATATTTTGTAACTCGACGCAACGTGTTGAACTTTTGGCTAAAAAGATAACAGATTTGGGATACTGTTGCTACTACATACACGCTAAAATGGCTCAAGCTCACAGAAATCGTGTTTTCCATGATTTCCGCGCTGGTCTCTGCAGAAACTTGGTATGTTAGATTAAAATTATATTTTTTTACAAACTATTTAATCTTAAGGACGTTCATGCGGCACCCTAGAGTCAAATTTTGTTTTATTTATCTAAAATATTTTTTAAGCATCTATTGTACAAAATCAGTAGATATAAATTAGTCGTTGATTTAACGTCCATTATTATTGTTTATTAAATTTGACAAATCTGTCATTTCTAACCATGTAATTTGTAGGTGCTTGTTTTCAGTACGGTTAAAAATCAACTAAAATAATTTTAACTAGCAACTTTGCAGTCACATAGTGACTGCCATGACTCGTGACCTAAAAAAAATTAAAATTTTACTTTATTAAATGATAACTTTCGTTAAATTGCACTGTATTTTTCTAACTATTGACCTTTTTAAAGATATAAGCTCATCCCGATGTTACACTCATCGAGAGCTTTCATTTGAGTACCCACATGCATTTTGATATATTTTTCATATATACAGATATATATATATAATATATATATTAAAATATATGAAAAATTGATGTGGGTACTCAAATGAAAGGTCTCGATGAATGTAATGTCGGGGTGAGCTTATATCTTTAAAAATATCAATAGTTCACAAGATACAAGGTCGTTTCTTAATTACGATAAATTGCACGGTACTTTTTTTACTATTGACATTTTTAAAGATATAAGCTCATCCCGATATTACACTCATCAA